AATCATCTTTGCTTTATTTTCTCTAAAATACAGATTAATAAATTTGAATTTGCAATGTGCTCTCACACCAAAAGTAATCTGCACATTATTTTTTTTCTCCTATAGCAAGCACTAAAAAGAAATATCCAAACTTGAATCTAGTGAGAACAATATAAACTAGTCTAGTATAATAGCAACAGTATTTACTATACCACGATTTGTGATTTATTTCCTAATCTCTTAGGAATAAAATTGGTACAACTATTTCTTCAGCTCTAAAAATGACCTCAAATTGACTGGAATACCAACTCTACAGCTACATGAAATTGTAAAATGGTTGTAAACTTGAGGCAGCATAACTATATAGATCCCTTTCCATTAATATTTAACACAACTAAACTTAGAGAAACTGTAAAAATTTCATCCTGGCTTTACCAAATGTCACAATACGAATTACAGGTCCACATCCAAACTAACGATTAAAATCACAACAAAATCAACATAACATTTTAAATAAAGGGCAGTTCAACGAAGCTGTCATGGATAGTTCAGATCTCTACATCTTAATTAGTTGAAAAATTGCTCAACTATTTAATTTTTTTTTTTATTTCGTTACGTATCTGCTTGCACTTTCTACCTGTGCCACATTTATCTTAAGTCTTACACTTCTGGATCTTTTAACCATTAGAGATCAACCATCAAATTACTTCAACAAGTAGAAATAGCAACACCGCTCCCAAACAGCAATTTCTGCATTGCTAGACACTTATCTAGTTGGTAGATTTATACCATTGTTCATTCTTAGTTCCTTAAATGTAAAAAAATACCCACAGAATGGTGGCATACCTCTAAATTAGTTTAAATATGGCACAAAGTTATTTTTAGTTAGGTTCAAGTTTTAAAAAGGCACTAATTCTTCTCAAAGGCTAATCTACTCAAGTTCCTCCCATATTAAAAAAATAAAAAGCTTAATTTGTCCCTTTTGGAAAGAAGAAATGTTATTTATGTAATGCTCAAGCAAAAGGATGTTAGAATAATAGACCTGACATAAAACCAGGGTCAGGAGCATACCTATTGTTCATAAAAATAAGTTTGACATTTATTCTAATATGGTCCTTTCAAACACTAGCATAGCCAAATGTCATTTTTTGTGCACTTTCAAATGTAATCTTTTTTTTTTAATATTCCTCTACTATGCAAAGTAAAAAGGAAGAAAACCACCATATACCATTATAAACTGGTTCTTATTCATGAAAATAAAGATACAAGAAACATTCATGTAATATTTATTTGAGATCTGTCTCTTCCCTCCTTGCATGCTAGAAAGATGCAAAGACAAACACTTCCAACTATTCAGACAGATCATGCCACAGTTGTAACTTTCATCATAGTTCTCAAAGCAGTATGGTGAGGTCAGCTCACAAACAGCTTAAGGAGTAAAACTAGAAATTGGTGGTAGTAGTATCAAGCTACATAACAGCCTCTCCAAAGAATATGAAGTAACAGAACTAAAATGTGCTGGCAACATGCCAAGAGTCTGGATGGAATATAGCTTTGAGCAACAAATACGCAGAGCTTACAGTATATAGCAATTTATCATCTCTTACTCTGAAGCTTGATTTTCCTTGTTTTAAGCCAAAAATAGCCATATGTAAGAGGTATTTAACACTACTAAATTTCTCTATACTTATAACTTGAAAGGCATCTGGGCTTGAAATGATTTGGTAAACTAAACATATACCCCAAAAGAAAAAGAAAAAGCTGACTTTTATCCTACATAAGGATGAGGAAGGTAAAATAGATACAATGATTTTGGTATTATTCTGCATAGAATAGCCTTTATTCTCCAAGAATTATATTACCCTCAGCTTGATTTTAAAGGCTTGGGTTTTCTATATTGTCGGTTCTCACTGAATATTTCTGCAACTGGTTGGTATGTAGAATTAGTCAATCTCGTAGATTTAATAAAGAACTAATCCTGTCAGATCAAATGATAAAACTTTGGTAGGAAACAATTCCTTTGACCTTAGTCAAAATGTTACTTTTATAATTTCACCTTTATTAAATCATAATAAAGTGGAATGATAAACTCTAATTCTTAAGTCTCTGACAATTTTGAAATATGTTCTTTCTAAAGAATCAAAAAATAATGCTGTTATTTTAAGCAAGAGAAAGAACCATATTCAATTCAAATCAACACATCTATTTTGTGCTAAACATTATGCTGCAAACTAAAGAAACAAAGACAATACGTATCTGGTCTCACAGATGTGCCAATCTAGTTGGGAAGACCGACCCATTTAAAAATCAATCACTTTCTCTCTCCCTGGTCCTCAATGTGCTCCACTAGCTATAGGAACAAAAGCCCTAGAATCACCTAGGGATGTGGCTAAGTCCTCCAGAAAGGATGGAAAAATCTTCAGAGAAGACGAGCTATATGTCCTGAAGGATGAGAATTTCACAATGGAAAGTGGGATATCACAGGCCAAGAAGGACAGAATGAGTAGAAGCAAGAAAGCACAAAAACATGGCATGTGTGAGGAAGCCCATGTGGCAAGGGCAAAGATAACAATTTCTGGTACATGTGCTACTACTCTCTTCTACCCTCACCCCATGACAGACATCACTAATCCATTAAAGCATGTTTAAAGTCAACATGAGACTCAAACTCCTTCTCAACTAATAACCCAAAACCAGTGGAAGGAGATAAGTCCATGAGATGAGATTTACATGCTATCCTGAGCCTGGGACTAGAAAGTGGTGGAACTTGAGGCTAGAACGGTAAAGTAAGGACAGATGATAAATGACCATGAATGCTAGGCTAGCAAATTTAGATTTTATCCTGTGAGCAACAGAGGAGGAACAAAGGATTTTATGAAGCATACTGACGTGATCAATTCTGGCAGATGTATGAAGAATGCATTTGGACAGACAGAATAAAGGCAGAAAGAACAGTTAAGATGCTAATGCAGTAGTCTAGGTAAGATACAATGAGGCCTGAATCTCAGAGATGACAAAAATCTACTGCAGGTTCTAAAACAAAAAATGGAATATTTTGGATTTTATAATCCACAGTTTTAAAACAACAGTTTGAGAAAAATTAGTATTCTGATTAGAATTCCCAAATAATACTCAAAAAGGAAAAGAGAAGACAACTTAAGGTAAAGACTAGAATTAAAGAAGTGAATCACAATGATACTCAAGATTACCCAAGACTATAAATTCAGAAATAGATATTTCAGGTTTAGCATCAAGAAAGAGAACGTCCTCATGACCAGACTAATACTCAGCAAGTCTTTTCTTCCTGAGGGCACTAATGCTCTAGCCAAACAACAAACACTATTCACCTTACATGCCCCTCCAATGCAGGGTCAAATGCACATTCTCGGTGAGATGCAGAAAGCACAAAAGTCAAATTTAAAAACAAAGTTTGAAACCATACAGGAGTTCCATTTTATCCAAATATTTAAAACTACACATTAAAGAAACATAATTTATGAAATATATCTTCTGGGAATACTACTGTTCTACCATTAACTAATTCATATCCCAGCCTTTAAACTCTGAAATTCTTCATGTGGAATACAACCTATCTGTAGCACTTCAGGGAGTATGCAAAAAAAAGCAACACTCCCATCACTGCTGCAGAATGTGTAATATATGAAATTATTCTAATTAAAAATAAAAACTTCATTGTAGTGCAAAGGCCAAAGATAGAGCTTTTCTATTTTGGAAAAAAATTCTTTAGCTGTTGCAAACAAAGGCTAATGCAGCAACGTGAAATCCAAGTACATGTTAACAAGCATGCTAGAAAAGTTAGCATTACTGTTTTAAGACCTAAGGATATTCACATTAAGGATAAAATTATCCTGTAATGAATGCCAACAATGCCCTTCTTACTACATAGACACATATTCATATTCAAGGGTTCTACTTTGTTCTCACCCCAATTCTTTGTGTCCCCATAACATACTCTCAAATTGGGACTCTCTTCCTCTTAAAAAAGCTAAAATGAAAAATATGAACTCTGGAGATAAAATTTATTTGTGGCATATTGTTTATTCTTAGAAAGCAAATCAGATGAACAGTTTATCACAATCTATCTCTCTTCCAGAAAGATATGGATTAGCTAGTCATGAGCAGGGTCTACTTCTCATGATGTCATTCCAAAGCCATTACTAAATGTTACACATGTTATTCTTCCTTCAAATCAATCACAAAACAAGTCACCCTAAGACTGAGGTCAAATTCCATTCCAACGAAACGTTCTACAAACTTGAAAGTAATGGTCCACTTACCAAGTAATATTCAAAGACCAAATTCCAAAAAAACCCTCCTGCTTTACCCCCCCCCCTTAAAAAAAAAAAAAAAAAAAAAAAGTCAGTCTTCTCCTTTTAGCTCATTGTAATGGAATGTGACCTGTAGTTAAGGGGTTTTCCATTCCTTACTGCTCAGAGAACATGAAGCAGATTTATTCTCTCTTATAAGAGCAATATGTTTTTTAAAAGAAAAAAGTGAAATGTAGGTTAATCATATAATAACAATTAGAACAAAAGGTAAATTGGTTTACTAGATTTCTCATGTATGACAGGATGAGTGTATTTAAATGACAAGTGAATCTATTTTTATTTTACAACCCTGGTCAGACATCTAAAAGATTTATGATTAGGTAGGGAAGGGGAGGTTAAAACTACAACTACTTAAATAAATCTCCATACACAAAATTACTATAAACATCTTTTCATGACAAATCATTTTTTTTTAATCACTGAAGTTACACACTTTTAATACCTAGTAGTAGAGAGAACAGGGAAATATTTAAGAAATGTACTTCAAAGTCTAAAATTAAACACATCTATCTGGGATTCAATTTCTCATTTTTAAAAAAAGAAGATATTTGGACTAGATGATCTTTAAAGCTACAGTGATACTTTAACCCATTTTAAAATGAAAAAATTCTATGATTTAATTCGGACAAAAGCTCTCCCAAGATAATCCCCGTAAAGGTATATGTTACTTACATCCTTCCTACACCTTCATACATGTTAGTCTCGTCTACCAAAGTCATAATCTCTGTATCTGTAAGATGTGCATGCTTTTTCGTTCTGTTTAGCTGTTCAATCTGTATATCTGCAAGCTTCACCTTCTGTTGAGTGTCAATGACTTTGGCTTGAAGCTCTGTGAAGGCCTAATAAAAACAAGTTCTTGATTTAGTAGGTGAAACACTTTATAGGAAACATTTAAGTCAAATCCAAATATATTAAAATACAGTATGCTAACCAGAGACAAAGCTATGAAATTTACCAAAGCAAACATCAATAAAAGTCAGTACAATTATATTAAATCAAGCCACTAGGCTAAACACTGAAATTACCCTGTCCTCAGAAGATGGAATGTATTTGAAGAAGAAACAAATGCACATTAAACAATAACCATATCAAGTAGCAGGGACTCAAGGAGTAATAAAAACAATGAATGCAATAGTCAGAGGATGAAACCCAGAAATCCAAAACAAGAACCATAAATGTAACAATTCTCTACATTTGTATTATTCAACCAGGTTTCAAAGCATTTTCCCAGGTTTCAAATATTAATAGAAATATTAACATGAAAACACTGAAGGGTATAATAAAAAATATCTCATTTACTCCTCAATAATCCCATGATTTAGGGATGGCAATTTCATCATTACAGTTTACATATTAAGTAACTAAATGTGTTAAAGAGCTATAAGTGGCTTGCACAGGGTTGACCAACTATCAGGTGGAAAGGCAGGTACTTAAATTCATTTCTTCTGACCCCCAGTTCAGGAATCTTTCCATTCTACTGTCTACAGTAATATAGAGAATATAAATAATAGAAATATTTTTAAGAAAAAGACAAAAATGAAAAACATTTCAAAGCACTGGTAGAATTGCATCATGATCTTCATATGCACATAACAGGCCAAATTTGAACCTCGTGTACACTTAACTGAAAGATAAACACAGTTCTTGGATACTCTTGTTGAAGTGCCTGAAATGACTTTCACATGCTGTTAAATTTATGCCTTAATAATAACATTTGTGACTGCAATACATGGCAAAGGCTACTACTTAACTTTTATTCTGACTTTGTTCTCACTTACTGCAAAAGGTTTCCAAAGATTTATTTTGTACGAAGGGAGGTGTCTGAAAATTTCCTATTAGTCTCCAGCCAAAAAAAAACCCTTATGAAGATATTAGAAGATAAAATCTTTAAACAAGTTTCTTCAGTTACTTTAACCGGTTATCAAAACTATCCAACTTAAGTGTGTAATCATTTTCTTAGTTTGCATTAATGGCCCACAGGTGTCTTAGCAACAAATTCAAATAATACTGGGAGGTAAGTCCATTCATAGCTGTACTCTACTGTTAGCTCTTTCATTAAATCCAGACTTAAATTTGAACTTTTAACAGGAGAAAAAGGTCAATGTTTACACTACTGTAAGCATTCTTAAAGTGAAATTGGTTCTGCAGGTAAAATTACCTGATTGTTCTGTACACAGTTTGCTAAGGGAGCTGGTATACTGTTAAAGCTGAGATACTACAAGCTTTGGAGAACACCACGTAAGAGCCAAATTTACAAATTTCGAAAAAAGAATGACAAAAAGCAAGACATACACATAAATCCTCACAGCAATAACAAAAAGCTTCATTTATTAGGATTGACAGCTACTTCAGCTGTCCTATTTCTTATGCAAAGGTTGACCAGAAAGCGGTCTGAAGTAAAACGTGCTCTTTTGAAGAACTGAAATAGTCAAAAGGTGTGGAGTAAGGCAGACAATACTGGATTCTAATCCCAGCCTTTGACTGAATTTTTTTTCTGGAACTGTTTCCTTTTCTAGAAAGGTACAGTTTAAAGTAGATGGAGCCGAGGATCCTTTCCAATACCCGCCCCCTCTCCACCACCCCCAAAATGGTTTGGGGTCCGTAATGGCGTTAGAATCCTGACAACTCTTAGATGATGAAAACATTTCTGAGTAATAACACATTTACAAGCAATTGTTTGAAGAGAGAAACCTAATTCCTTCTGATACCAATTTTATTTGTAAAACTTTACGGGACTTGTTTCTTTTTCGACAAGTCCTTCAAAAAAGGGAGAGGGTGGGACGCCAGAGCCCTGAGATCTATCTGACTCTAAACTGTACTGCGTGCGACCTTTCAAGGTATGGGATCGAATAAGTGGCCTAAAAGCACAGGTAGGATTTGGAGTTTTTCAAAGCAAATGAGGATGCAGCATTACAGATGCCTTAGCTCGGGCAAACCGTCCTAAAGGGCTCCACTTTGAAACGCTTACTTCAGGCCTTAATATGGAACTGAAGTCTCCAAGTGCAACGAAACGGCTCTGGAGCTCGGTAAAAGGGAACAGGCCAGCTATTGGCGCACCAGACAACCAAAGACAACCCAACGGGCTCTTATCCAGAAAGAGCTGCTCGCCCCCTACTCGAACTTAAGAAGACCCGGTCCCGCCTTAGGACTCTAGGAAATCATTCTCCAGTTCCCTGGGGCCTCTTTTCTTCCTCAAGACTCGGGCCTCCTCGATATTCTTATCCACAGTCCCCTTAGCTACCCAAGAGAAGCCTCGGCCTGCTCAAGACGCTCTCTTACCTTCTTCAACTCCAAATCCACGGGCGCTGCCATCTTGGCTCACTCTCTGCGCCTGCGCGATGGGGGAAGGCCGCAAAGAATGAGGGGGAAGGGCGCGCTTTCGCGGTTTAATTGTCCCCGTTCCTTCTGCGCCTGCGCATAAATCGGGCTAGTCAGGCTTCTTCCTCCCTATCCAGCCAGTGACGCTTGAAATATTCGGGATTCGATTCAGGCTGTGTCCCCCACGTGATCTATCAGGCTTGGGCTGCTTCTCCACATCCTTCCAGACACAACACAGCACGCAGATTTCGTGTATGGTTTTAAGCATTTTGACAAGTAGCTTAGTTTTTGTTACTAAATTCAGATATATGTATACCAAGCCAAAACCTCTTCAGTCATTCAGTCCTTCAGCTAGTCCCTGTGCTGTCAGGGATGAGAATCAGCCTGAGCCTCAGACATACCAGTATGGAGAAGACCAGAAGGTTATTGGAGTATTCTTCCAAAGAGCTTATTTCTATTGAATGTTCCTCGAGGACCTTTTTGACATAGTGGTTCCCAAGAGAGGCCAAATAAGATTGTCTGATCCTCATCCCAAACTTAATTACTTAGAATCTTTGAGGTTGGGGCCCAGAAAAATTTGTACTTTTGCAAACAATCCTTATGACCTGATGCAAGTCATATGCAGACCAAATGTTGAGAATGTGCTGTAAAAGATCTAGCATTTGAACCAGAAGGATGGATAGAAATTGGACTTTCGGACATGGCAGAAATGGATGTTTTACCTACTCTAAAAACTTGTATGAGGGAAGGCAAAGGGAAGGAATTTGGAACCAGTCAGATCTGGATTAAAGGTTTGGCCTACCTTGAGCCTAGGTCTGCCTGGATCCATTTACTAGTTGGTTGGCAATAGAGTTTGTCTCCTCTTTTAATTTGAGAATAACAATATTAACCTAATAGGGTTATTGTGAGGAATACATAAGATCAGGATGAAATACCCCAAATATAGCACCATACACACAATAGGTACTCAATAAATAGTTGTAGTTTGTTGAGGTAATCAGCATTGTTGTGTTTGTCTTTCAATGTCCAGCAAACATGTCACCTCCTCCATTATGTCTTTGTTTTCTTTTTTTACATCACTCATCAACCAAAAATAATATCTTCTCTAAACTCTCCTCAAGACTACATCTGTTCCTCTCTTAAGGCACGTGAAACTTTCTACCTCAATTTTTTTTTCCTTATTAGACTGTAAGCTCCTTGAAATCAAGTACTACAGAATAATGGTTCTTCCAGCACTTATACCCAGAACACCTATCACAGTGCCTCACAGGCAAGGAATACAAAACGAACACTTGATGAGAATAAATTCTTCAGAAGAAAATTTGTCTTCACTCTCTAACTTGAGAAAGAAAAGGGGGGCCTAATTCTACTCTGAGGCCTTCTTAGAACTTCATTATAGATAATCAATAATGACTGAATATTAAAATCCAAAAAAGTCTCAGATACTTTCCTGTACATTACCTCATGAGATTTTGAAACACTCCTCATAGCAACTCGTATGTAATATAAAAAGTTAAGAGCATGGGCTAAGGTGTCAGACAACCTAGGTTCCAGTACTGTCTGTACTATTTAACAGCAGTGTGATCTTAGGCAAGAATTTTCTCTCAATTTTTTTGGTCATTTTTCCTTTTTGCATACCTCTCCTTCCTCTTGAGTTTAATTTCCTTCTTGATAAAGTAAAGCTTCAGTATATTCTTTCAGGATGAGTCTTTGAGAAGTAAACTCTCTTAGTCTTTGTGTTATGGGTTGAATTGTGTCCCCCAAAAAAGATGTGTTGAAGTCCTGTATACAGTACCTCAAATATTATCTATCCAGGAATCCAGTCTTTACAGAGGCAATGTTAAAATGAGGCTTTTAGGGTGGGCCCTAATCCAATATATTGGTATCTTAGTCCTTCAGGCTGCTATAACAGCACAGGGTGGATGGCTTATAAACAACAAACATGTATTTCTCACAGTTCTGGGACTGGAAATTCAAGATCAGGGTACCAGCATGGTTAGGTGAGGGCCCTCTTCTGGGTTGCAAACTGCAGACCTCTTGCTATGTCCTCACTTGGTGGAAAGGGTGAGGGATCTCTGTGGGGGGTCTCTTTTATATGATCCAGTAATCCTACTCTTGTGTATATACCCAAAAGAATTGAAACAGGGACTTGAACAGATATTTATACATCCATGTTCAGAGCAGCATATTCACAATATCCAAAATGTTGAAGCAATCCAAGTGTCCATCAATGGATGAATGGGTGCATAAACAAAATATAGTATATACACTTACAGTGGAATAGCATTCAGCTTTTAAAAGGAATGAAATTGTAACACATGTGACAACACAGGTTAATCTTGAAGACATTATGCTAAATGAGATAAGCCAGTCATAAGAAGACAAATACTGTACAATTCCACCTATATGAGGAATTTAGAGTAGTCAAAATCATAAAGACAGAAAG